CGGGGGTCCTTCCTGTCTCCGGTCGACGACGGCGAAGATCGTGATCGTTCTCGCCGGGGACACTGCATGCATGTGCGGCAAATCCCAGATGTATAATAATTCATGTGGATCGATCTTACACAATACTATTTAGTATACGTATTGTATGCCGCGGCGGATTCAGGATATAATTAATATAGCACTATGGACCACACGTTTGAATAGTAAATTAGATACCGACTAGCACTGGGTCGGAAAGATACTACGAAAAAAAGCTGGAAGCACATAGATCTCGTTTACTATTATTAGTTCTGGATCCGGACGCGGACTGGATTGTGACCAGAAAAAGGACTCTCCCTAGATACGATACTATCGATGCAGGTGTCCAATGTTGACTCTGTAAGTGAGTATATACAATACTGGAACGGTATAAGATCCATTATGAAACCTTTTTTTTTTTTGTTAATAATGGTGATATAGATTTATTTTTTGCTGTTTAGGTACTACTTAAGTGACGATCACTAGATTCAAAGCTAGTGGTTACCACCAGACCAAACTCTTGTTTCGTCCATAACCTTTCTTTAACAATTTGATTTATGGAGGACCATTATTTATATTCCAATATCGATTTTTCGTGAATGGATGTTTCACGAAGACCTATATATACCTGACATTGACATCATCGGTGATGTCACTCGAAGTGTTAGTAGCAGACGTCGCCGGACCAATATCATATCGCGAACTAACTTCTCTCGATTCGCCTGAAGGGCAAAGACCTGATGCAGCAGTGAAATCATTATCATATCGGTATTTATCAATAAAAGAATTTTTTACACCACTAAATGGGCAGTCCTGTTATAACCGCGGAGAGTAAATGTACTAAAAGAAAGAAGAAGAAAAAAAAAAAAAACAAGAAGCCACTGCCTACGCCTACGGAACTTCCTCCACTCGTCGCACCAAAGTTTGACAATTGCCCAAAGTTCACAACGAGAAAACCACATCCACGAAATGAAAGAGGAAAGTGAATGGAATGATAAGGAGAAAATTATAACGTACATGGAATTAGGACGATCCATATGATCATCAACTTGGAAATCTTGGGCTGCATCATCGCAATGGCCGTTCTTATGAATCAGCTACGTACGTAGCTGTGTTTCTTGTTTGAGGTTTCTTTCAAGTAATTGGTTATGCTATGCATGCTGATCACTTCTATAGCTGCGTATCTATCTATATATAGACACTGTGAATATAAGAGTGCTCAAAGGTTGGGATTTCTTCTTTATTTTTTGTGGAACAAATCGTGCGTACGTTACTGGATTAGCCGGAATTCCTCTTCTTGTTCGGTTATTAAACAATTCTTATTGCTTGTTTTTGGGTATTTTGCCGTCATTGAAACAAAAACTTGTCTATTCTCTATTCATTCTTGGTTGGTCATAAATTTTGGAATCTGCTGGTTGGTTAGGACTTAAGGGCCAATGCATTTGGTTTTGTTTGTTTGTTTTTTTTAATTCGGTCAGGATTGGATGGAACGAACCAATATGAAAGAATCGTAGGGAACATATGTAAAATCGTTGTGTGTAGAGATAAGCGAGCTCCTGGAAAGTTACCGTGGTACACCCCAAAAGTAAAATCGTGCAAGATAGGGTTAAGGTGGACAATATGTTGGTCAGAAAAGGTTCGGATGTGACATTAACTATCACTGCCGACCAACATCTTGGTCAGAAAAACTTTCAGTCTAAAATGGACTCACCCACTTATTAATGAGTTGATAAATGGTAGTAGCCGTTCAAATATATTATTTATTATCTTCCTTTAGAAGTCGATAGTCAATATGTGGTAATGCTATAAAATATTATCACTATTCGTCATTCGATAGTATAAACAATAAACAACGTAATTCTTTGTCATGACTCATGTGAAAGTGGGATGCATGTTATTTGGGTGATTTGCAACCCACCCACCACTCTACTCGAATAAATGTAGGTAAAAAAATTTCAATCACGATCCAATCACATCACTCACCTACTCACAACGATTTGGATTATTATTTATGAGTAGATCGATGTCAAACCGTGAATTAACCGCTCACATGTCCACCCCTACTTGCCGCATAGGCGTAGCTAGTATTTTTTTTATATATCTATAATGGTGATATAATCTTATTATTATTACTACCAAAAAAGAGTTTCCAAACATGAGCATCACAAACTGCACATACAAAGAGTTTACACCGTAAAACTAGCTAGGAGATCTATCACAGAAAGGAGGGAAAAACCCCAACCGGAATTACAAGAAAACATGGTATCGAAACCGGACAGTTTAATTATTAGTACGATATTGTCTGCTTTGGGTCAAGCCCACACGGTTTTATTCTTGGGTATTCTCCCCAAAAGATCTCGTACTAATTGGGCTAGGTGGACACTAATACACAAGAGTTCCTTCACTTGTAGTTCCGATGTGGTACTTGGATTGTCCCATAACAAATGGAAACTTCGCCGGCGATTAGGGCTTCAACCGTCGGTCGTCGTCGGTCCGGGGTAAAGGAGATCACGACGACACTGGCCTACGTACACAAACTTGTTTATTTATTCTAGGAATGAAATTATGGAGGGCAGATGCAGTAACAAAGATTGTCAGCACAGTTGCAACCAACGTAGCAACGTGGAGTATCTTCATCCCTACACAAATGTGGGTGGAAAGAAAAACAGTAGGCGTTGTTGCACAAACCCCTGCAGTCGTCTTGCACCCAAGAACTTCTGTTACCACTGGAGGATGCATCCTGCAAGACCAATATCTCCTCTTTCCTGCAGATCGATCGAAAACTTTCCTCGTTTTAACTCGGATTTTCACGTGTATATATATATACTAGCTATATGTATGTATCGAAAACACTCACCGGATATGATGATTAGTCTCTGTGCTGTGGCCGGGAGCAATATAATATCGTGAACTGACTTCTCTCGATTCGCTTGAAGGGAAAAGACCTACATGCAGCAGTAAAAATATCATTGCCATATCGGTAATATATATATATATATATATATATATATATATATATATATATATATATATATATATATATATATATATATATATATATATATATATATATATATATATATATATATATAAAATGAAGGTAGAAGAGATGGTAGGGGGGAAATAACGTACAAGGAAGGAAGACGCATATAATTATCATCGGAAGCAAGACGGCCAACTTAGCATCACGACTGGTCGTCGTCATCATCACCGCCATGGCTATGTGAAGCAGAGTGTTCTAATGGAAGAGTTCAGCGGAGCTGAAATGCAGAAGGAAAGGAACACTCTGCAAAGAGGAAGAAGATGACTGAAGCGGGTCGGATCACGGTTGAACCGGGCTTCCTTTCACCCGTTCAATTGATACGCAGAAGAATAAAGTGATGCGGCACCGTTTGGCGATAAGTGAAGCTTCAGTTGATTTAAGTGCTCTTAGCACACGTGTAAATAGCTGATAGGATGAGTTTGATTGTTAGTTGTAGTTAGCCGTTAGAGTACAGTAGATTAGGAAGAACACTGTGTTAATCTCTGTATATATATTCTGGAGAAAATGGAATGGAAGGCAGTATGCAACATTCCCCCAAAAATCAAACCCTAAATCTTCTTTCTTCTCAAACCCTAGCCTCCATGGCAGCTAGGTCACAAACTCTCACATGGTATCAGAGCCTGGTTGGCTTTTGATTCCGTGTTGAGCTTGTTCTTACCTTCTTCCTTTCATTTCTTCTTTCTTCAAACACTTTCTTCATTCTTAAACTCCAACAATGGCGGACGGAGACGATTCATCTAGCTCAGACAAGGATTTCAAAGATAAGGAGAAAGAGAAGGAGATCTCATCACCACGCTATGAAGATCCTTACTCAAACCCATTCTACCTTGCTCAGAGTGACAATTCGTTCCTTCCAGTCATCAGCTTCAAGCTCAACGACGACAACTATCTGCTATGGAGCGAGTGTATGGAGGTTGCTTTGCGCACCAAAAACAAGCTTGGATTCGTCCTTGGAACCATTCAGGTACCAGCACTTACAGATCCGTTGTATGGAACTTGGGATCGTGTTAATGGCACAGTTGTATGCTGGATTAGGAATTCTGTTTCTGAGGACATTGTTCCTAGCCTTCGAAACATCAAGGTTGCATCAGAGGCATGGACTTACCTGAAATCTAGGTTTAGTCAAGGTGATTCAGTGAGAATAGCAAATCAGCAAGAAAAGATGGATCTAACTAAACAAGGAAACAAAACCATTCGACAGTATTACACAGATCTGAAGTTGGTATGGGATGAACAACAGACATATCAACCCATTCCTTACTGTGATTGTCCTTCTCGCACTTATGAAACTGTGATGCGTTATCAAGAAAGGGGAAAGGTCATTCGCTTCCTGCTGGGATTAAATGAGAGATACCAGCAGGTGAAGACCCAGATGCTAATGATTGAGCCTCTCCCTGATCTTGATAGTATTTATAGATCAGTGACCCAGCTTGAAAGGCAGTTGAACAGTTCTAATTCCAATGTTGGGAAATCTGAAGAAACAATTGCATTAGCAACTGCACTTGCAGGGTCCAAAGCTCAGTACAATCAATCCAGGGATAAAGGGACTACTGAACACCAACCTGGAGGACTCTTCTGCAGGTATTGCAAGAAGGATAACACTACAAGAAACTTCACTTTTTGCGACGACAAAATTCGTCGCGGAAAGCTTAAAATCCGTCGCAAAAAGGTTTTCGCGACGAGTTTCACCGTCGCAAAAGAGATCAATCTTTCGTCGCCTATACAGCGTCGCAAAAAGTTCAGCGACGAAATATCACCGGTTCGTCGCGGAAAATCGCTTTCGTCGCTGAAAAGTAGATGATTGGCGACGGGCATGTCGTCGCCAAAAATGATCATTTGGCGACGATGAATCATCGTCGCAGTACGAAATGACAATTTGCGACGGATTCTTCGTCGCTAAAGGATGGGATACTTTTGCGGAGTTGTTTACAATTTATTTTTCTGGAGTTTATTCATAATTATCTATGGTCTCAATTAAATATATTTAGTATTTATTTTCTCGTTCATTTTTTAGTTATTTCAAGTTTGTCTTCTTGTCAAAATCAATTCATCACCTCATTAAAATAAATAAATCTCAAGTTCGCCTGAGATTAGCCCAAGTACCAGTTCCAACTTTAAATCCATGTCCAAACACAGATTTATACACCCTAATCCTAACCAAGGGTTTCAGAGAATATCATCAAAGCCTCCATCATTCCAAACCTGCAGAAAGAATCAAGTCAGAATCTGTAAAAACTAAAAACAAAATAACCAAAGAAAAATCGTGTTATACCTCTCAGCGGTGGCTGCTGGTTCTTCGCCGGCAGAGCGGGTGGTCGTTCACGGCCACCGACAATCTCACTGCCGTCTCTGAACTTCCCTTTCAGATCCCCTCATCGGAGTTAAAAATTAACCAAGAAAATAAAAGAAAGTCAGAACCCCCTTGAAACAAGAAAAGCGAAATAGAAAGAAAACAGATCTGTATATGACGATCTCACCTATAAAAGACGGGATAGATCTGTCGTTTCTTTGAGAGAGATCGACTAAGGATGGGTCTCGAAGGATCGGGCTTCCAAATCGAGAGGCGTATCGGGAAAAGCAATATCCAATCATGGCTTCTACAATCGGTGGTTGGCGACGGAGAGAACGGCAGATCAATAAAGCTTCGCTTGGCCGATTGCCGAACCACCGCCCCGCCTACATCTCTCGGCCGTCTTTGCTCAAGTGTGCCGCTAAGCAGATCGGGAAACCAGGAGGCCGTCTTGACCCCGTCTTTCGTTAAAACCAGAGGAGAGTAAAGTAAGGAAGGAAAGAGATAGGGTAATCGTGGAAGGAGAGGCGAGAAAGAGCGGCTGCCGGCTAGGGTTTGTGTTAGCCCAAAATGTAAATATATAGCCTTCCAAAGAAGATAATTTGCCCTTAAAAGTTCGAAACAATTACTACACCTGCCACCGCCTTTTGGTAAAAGTACGAAATTACCTGCTTTTGTCTATTGAATATAAAAAGAAAAAGGGACACTAAATAGTAGATCAAACTTATCAAGGAAGCTTTTCAGTCTAATACTATTACGATATAAAAGACAAACAAAACAAATAAGAATTAAGTTGAAAGAATAATTAATAGTTTAGATTAATAATCATTCAGCCATTTTAAAAATCATTCAACATTTGATTTTGCTCAGAGTATCAATTTCATCATCATATTTCATCATTCAACGAAAGAAGCTTATATATGTTGGAATAATTAAGTTCCATTAGTAAAATACGGTAAGGGTAGGTTGCGTATAAAATACGTACAAATATTTTACTTTGTTTCTAAACTAATGTTACATATTCAATAGTACATGAATAATCATAAATGTATAAAATTAATTATTAAAAAAAAATAAAAATATTTAAGATATCAATTTAATTCAATAAATACATATATTAAACGTATTATATGAGTTTTGTACATATTTAGTAAGGGAGCTATCAAATAAACCAGGGAAAATGAAACTCTTTGACAATAATATGGATACTGAAGTTTTAACCAAATAAAATATGCATGAGTACATATACGTGCATTAAACGGAGTATTTACTAACTATAGTTCTAATAATATAAAATTTCTTGAAAAATTTTATGAGGACGGAAAAACATCACACAAAGTCTCCAAACATTCTGCGACGACAAAATTCATTGCAGAAGCCCCTAAACATTTCGCGACGAAAGGTCATTGTCGCAGAAAGTCCCGAACATTCTGCGACGACCTACATCGTCGCAGAAAATTTCCATACATTCTGCGATGATAGATAATCGTCGCAAAAAGGCTCCATACATTTGTGCGACGAAAGTGAATCGTCGCAAAAAATCTCCACACATTTCGCGACGAAAGGTCATTGTCGCAGAAAGTCCCGAACATTCTGCGACGACCTACATTCGTCGCCGAAAATTTCCATGCATTTGCGACGAGGGATAATCGTCGCAGAAAGTCTCCATGCATTTTGCGTCGAGAGATAATCGTCGCAGAAAGTCTCCATACATTCTGCGACGATAGAGAGCCGTCGCAGAAAGTCTACATACATTCTGCGACGACATATAGTCGTCACAAAAAAACTTCACCCATTTTGCGACGCAAAAGTGAATTTCGTCGCAAATTCTACACTTTCTGCGACGAATTTCTTATCGTCGCTATAGAATTCGTCGCAGAAAGTGCAGTTTCTTGTAGTGTAATCACGTGAAGGAAGACTGCTGGAAGCTGAAACGTAAGAATGGCCTTCTGGGTAACAACCCTGGTAGCAATCCAGGCAGAGGAAGAGGGTTTGCTGGTTCAGTTGATGTGGTTAGTGGAGAGGGCACTACTTCAGGAGGAGCAAGTTTATATTCTCCCACTAGTCCTGTGAGTCAGCATGAACCTCACTCACCAACCTTCTCAGGTTTCACAGCTGATGAGCTTCACAGACTCAAGGCATTGCTGCAGTCTTCCTCATCCACTCAAGGTGGTTCACAAGCCAATTCTGTTATGGCTGGTTCTGTGCCCATGACAGGTAAATTTATCCTTTCTACCTCTCAAACCAGAACTGATAAGTGTGTGTGGGTTATGGATACAGGAGCTAGTGATCATATAGTATGTTCACTTAGCTTATTTCTTAGATGTAGGTCAGTTAACAACATGTCTGTGACTTTACCAAATGGACAACAGGCCACAGTCACACATATAGGGATAGTGAAACTCCCTTGTGGCATCTTACTGACCAATGTTTTACTGGTTCCCTCTTTTTCCTACAATCTAATCTCAGTAAGCCAATTAACCAAAAACAGCCCAGTCTCACTCTTATTTCAATCCACTTTTTGTTATGTCCAGGACCTTATATCTCAACAGAGGATTGGTTTAATCCCAGTAAGTAGAGGACTTTACCTTCTTGGAGAATCAAGTGGCCCTGGAGAGATTTGCAAACCAGAAATTCTTGGAGTGAGCAGCAGTCAAAGCCCCAGTTTATGGCATCAGAGATTAGGCCATTTGTCTTTAGATAGATTGAAGAATATTAAGAAAGTTTGTAATGAGATTGAGGTTCCTGATTCCTTAGCTTGTGAGATTTGCCATTTCTCCAAGCAGAAACGTTTACCCTTTTCTAAAAGTACTTCTCATTCCAAATGTCCTTTTGACATGATACATACTGATATTTGGGGACCAGTAAATGTGATTTCCATGGATGGTTTTCAGTATTTTTTGACTGTTGTGGATGATTACAGCCGTTGCACTTGGCTTTATTTAATGCATTCTAAATCAGAGGCTAGAACCTTGTTGCAATCATTCTGTGCAATGGTAGCAACTCAGTTTAACACCAAGGTTAAGACTGTTAGATCCGACCAAGGTCTAGAGTTTCAGATGGATGCTTTTTACCAACAGCATGGAATAATCCATGAGCTCAGTTGTGTGCACACAGCACAGCAAAATGGCAGGGTTGAGAGGAAACATCAACACCTGTTGAATGTTGCAAGGGCATTAAAATTCCAGTCAGGTCTCCCCACTAGTTTCTGGAGCCATTTTGTTTTGCATGCATCTTACCTGATTAATAGAATTCCCACTCCTGTTTTGGATGGTAAATCACCCTTTGAGTGCTTATATGGGGTGCCACCAGATTATAGTGATTTGAGGGTGTTTGGCTGTCTTGCTTTTGCTACCAATGTACAACCTCACAAGCCTAAGTTTGCTCCCAGAGCAATCAAAACAGTGTTCCTTGGTTATACTTATGGCATTAAAGGTTTTAAGCTGTATGACTTGGAGAATCATACAGTCTTCACCAGTAGGGATGTGGAGTTCCATGAGCACATTTTTCCCTTTCTTACCTCTTCATCTGACTCCCCACCTTCTTCTCACTACAAGAAAAAGGCTATTCCGCGACCATAAAAAGTGGTCGCGTAAACAAGAATACTGGTCGCCATATTGTTTTGCGACCATTCTTTTCAGTCGCAAAACTGGTCGTATATACGCCGTCGGCATAGGTAAATGCGACCACTTTTCAAAAATGGTCGCAGAAAAGAAACGTTTTTACGACCACATAAATGGTCGCGGAAAGCTTGAGCTCTTGCGACCTTTTCTTCATGGTCGCACAGATTCATTATTGGCGACCATGACAGTGGTCGCGAGAGATAATGCATTCAGCGACCACAAGATATTTGGTCGCGAGAGATGCTCTACAGAAACCACATTGGTTCAGACAACACTCCATTTGGGATTGCTTTGATTATCCCTTAAATAAGTAGGAAAATATTATATATCAATATACTACAACATGCAATAAGAGATTACTATAACGATAATTACCATTTATTTCATACTTCAGGATTCAATTGTCTTCACAAAGTACTTTAACATGACATAATCACCTTGACATGCCTTAATAAACTAAAATTTTCTCGATAATAAAGTCATTTCGTCAATACAAGTTAATGAAACTATCATCTAACTATATACCACTTCCGAAAATGTATAACCAGCAGGTTGTAGCACTCTGCAAAATGTTATCCACCTAGCTTGAAGCACTCCGCAAATTCTTGCAACTAAGAACTCGCCATGATAAGATGAATTGCACGGAACCGAAAGAACACATCATCTCCATAAGTAACTTGCACAAGAAAAGGGAATACATAAAAGATAACACATCGCTGAGAAAATAAAAGTAGTGACCAATATGATCTTACCACCCAGTACATGTAAGAACTAAGAAGTGCCATCTCTTCAAATGGAGTAACATGCAAAAGAATGACTGCAATTACATAGATGATCACAAAAAACACATTTGCTCTCAGAATATAGGATTATGTGAGATATGCAGCTGAGAACACAAAGAATCGCCATCATGTCAAGTGAGTGGCTAGCTAATAATTACCTGCTGCTCCTGGTGGGAGACGATTTGGTGGTGCTGTCTATAGTCATCACCATAGCAGTGCTTAAATGAGAAAGAAAAAGGACCATTACAATGCAGCCCTGAAATAAAAAAAGGGCATTTACATGTTATATGATGTTATCACTACAACATTGCTTGCATGGTGTCTCACAGCATATGCATATGCATCAACAGTAGCAGAACCAGGAAATCATCCTATTAAAACAAAATCGATACCAGTTACATTCAATATCTTCGCGAATCATACAGTGGGCTTATGAAATCGATCAATTGGAGAACCTATTCAGACAAGAAAAAGGGGTTTGGTGGACAAATCAGAATATTGTATTGTGATCCTAACCATCTCTCTCACCTACAATTCATATAATAGCCTTCAAAACCAGGCATCCATTATAAGAATCCGAGTAAGATAAGGCAATGAAAATTATAAATGAGTGAAGAGACTGTCAATCTATAGTTGTTATGCAAATCCATAGTTGTAAGAGCTTGGTTACTAACCTGTACTGTTTAAGATAAACCAAAGCCCTCACAAAATCCCCAAGTTGGTTGAACCCGATTCATGATCAGTAAACTCTTCGCAGTATTGCTCGAGCTAATCCACACTTTAGATGCCTTCTTTTCTCACAGACTGGCACTCATCCATAGCATATGCGTTCAAAAATCACATTTTGCAGCATAGCCTGCTCTTACATCTAGCACACCAATTTACTATTTGACATCACACACCACTTCACTTCACAAATTCTATGCAAGTTAAATATCAACTCTAATACTAAAACGTCCTTCTCAACTGCGAGCAGGTGATTTCATTCTTCTCATTCTATATAACAAACGACAAGTGCACCGAATCACATTAAATCCCAATATTAACCGCTAATTCTGCAAATTTTCTAATTAACACCCAATTAACAGAAGAAGAACAAAAAACAGATTCTAAAGGTGTGATAAATCATCATAGACAATCAAAACCAAGTTAAAATTAGCTTCGATCAAAACTTAAAATCGTGAGCGCGTTGGGTTTCGAACCCTAGAAATGCCCCAATCCCAAATTACAAGGCCAAAATGACAATTGAAGCATTAAATCAAAGAAAGAGGAGGAAAAGTGAACGGCTTTAGAAGATTTGGTAAAAGAAGAAAGAAAAGTAGGGTCAAGAAGTATACGTACAAATCATAACTTGTGAGCTGGAATTGGGGAGCTTCTCCTTATTGCCAGCGTCAATCTGGGGGCGAAGCGAGTCACCGATGAGGTTGGGAAGAGAGGATATGGGTGTTCGAGAAGCGGGCGGCCGATGCAAAGAAGAGAGGGATTTCGCAGCAGAGGAGTTGGGGTTCTGGACTCTGGACAGGAGGAGGAAAAGGAGTTAGGGATTGCTAGGTTTTGGCTCATCTATTACAAAACGTCGTCGGTTTGCAAAGCTAAATGGTTGCTGAATTTTTTTTCTTTTCTCTTTTTTGTTAAATGTTTCAAGTATATTTAAATGATTTTATGCGACCAGTTTAATGGTCGTGGTACTTTTATTCATTTGCGTCCAAGTCGTATGGTCGCTGAATGTAAAACAATGGCCGCGGAATTTTTTTGGTCTTCCCGCATTCCTCAAATAAGCCCGCGAAAATTTCATTTTCCAAAATTTGTTTTTTCGTGACCATTTTTAAATTTTGGTCGCGGATACACACACTTTCCGCGACCATTTATTTTAATGGTCGCTAAAAATGGTCGCGGAATATCCTATTTCTTGTAGTGTCTACAGCCCCTTCCTTCCCTTATTCAGACATGTTTCATGATCCTCCACTCCCTTCTGATCACAACAGCCATGAAACCTCAGACCCAGACTTTGTTCCTTCCTCTCCTACTCCTTATTCTACACCTGTTTCCACACCACATTCCACACCTGTTTCCACACCAGCTTCTACACCTCCAACTTCATCATCTCATACACCACTCTCTTCTCCTCCTCCTTCCCCACCTCCATCCCCTACACCTCCCATTGCCCTCAGGAAACCAGTAAGGACTACTAGACCACCTAAACATCTAGAGTCCTTTCACACCTCTTTCCTTACTCACTCTGGTCTTTCTTCTTTTGATTCCAAACTCCTCTATCCCCTTTCCCACTCTCTGGATTATTCCCATTTACCTCCTTCACACAAGTCTTACATTCTCTCCATCTCCCTCACTTCAGATCCTCAAACCTATAACCAGGCAGCTCCACATCCCTGGTGGCAGGCAGCAATGAAGGAGGAGGTTAATGCCCTTGAGGCTAACAACACCTGGGATATTGTGGACAGACCTGTTAATGTTACTCCAGTTGGTTCTAAGTGGGTTTATAAAACCAAATTCCTTCCTGATGGTTCTGTGGAAAGGTTCAGGGCTCGAGTTGTTGCAAAGGGTTATACTCAGACATATGGTATAGATTTTGTTGATACTTTTTCTCCTGTTGCTAAGATGAATTCAGTTAAACTTCTCTTAGCTGTTGCTGCTGCTAAACACTGGCATCTTCACCAGATGGATGTCAGCAATGCTTTCTTGCATGGTGACTTAGAGGAGGAGGTATACATGGAGTTGCCACCTGGATTAAGAGAGCTAAGTCACCTGCAAGGAAAGGTTTGCAGGTTAAAGAAGTCGATTTATGGTCTCAAGCAGGCCAGTAGGCAGTGGTACTTGAAGCTGAGTGAGTACTTGACCAAGATTGGTTTTAGTCAGTCCTATGAAGATTACTCAGTGTTCAAGTCAGCAACTGTGATTCTAGTTGTTTACGTTGATGATATCATTGTAGCAGGACCTAATCTGGAGGACATTCAACGTGTTAAGAATCAGTTGCAGCAGGGGTTCAAAGTAAAAGATTTAGGCAATCTCAAATATTTCCTAGGCCTGGAAATAGCTAAAACAAATGCTGGGATTTCTTTGTGTCAAAGAAAGTTCTGCCTTGAGATGTTGGAAAATGCAGATTTCTTGGAATGTAAACCAGCCAAGACTCCTATGAGTATGAAGACTGCACTATCTGCTAGTGATGGAACCAGACTTGAAGATGGATCTGTTTTTAGGCACTTGCTTGGTCAGTTACAGTATCTGACTTCAACAAGGCCTGATATTTGTTTTCCTGTACAGCAATTGAGTCAATTTCAGGACTGCCCTACTACTGTGCACTTGAAGGCTTTGCACAGAATCTTCAGGTATTTGAAAGGATGTCCAGCACAGGGATTATGGTTCTCCTCATCTTCTAGCCTTCAATTAAGTGGCTATTCAGACTCAGACTGGGCGACATGTCCTGACTCAAGAAAGTCAGTTACAGGGTATTGCACGTTTCTGGGAAGTTCATTGGTTACCTGGAAGAGTAAGAAACAGGGTACTGTGTCTCGATCTTCCTCAGAAGCGGAGTACAGAGCTCTTGCTCAATTATCCTGTGAAGTTCAATGGCTTAAGGCTTTACTTGCCTTTTATGGAGTTCCTCATTCTCAACCAGTTAAGGTATACTGTGATAATCAGTCTGCTATTCACATAGCAGAGAATCCCGTTTTTCATGAAAGGACAAAACACATAGAGGTGGATTGTCATGTTGTGCGAGAACGATTACAATCGGGCTTAATTACTCTTTCTCATCTCAGAACAGAATATCAATTGGCCGACTTGTTTACCAAGGGCCTTTCTGCAGACAGGTTTACTTTCTTGCTCTCCAAGCTGGGAGTACACAGTTTGTACTCGCCAGCTTGAGGGGGCGTGTGAAGCAGAGTGTTCTAATGGAAGAGTTCAGCGGAGCTGAAATGCAGAAGGAAAGGAACACTCTGCAAAGAGGAAGAAGATGACTGAAGCGGGTCGGATCACGGTTGAACCGGGCTTCCTTTCACCCGTTCAATTGATACGCAGAAGAATAAAGTGATGCGGCACCGTTTGGCGATAAGTGAAGCTTCAGTTGATTTAAGTGCTCTTAGCACACGTGTAAATAGCTGATAGGATGAGTTTGATTGTTAGTTGTAGTTAGCCGTTAGAGTACAGTAGATTAGGAAGAACACTGTGTTAATCTCTGTATATATATTCTGGAGAAAATGGAATGGAAGGCAGTATGCAACATTCCCCCAAAAATCAAACCCTAAATCTTCTTTCTTCTCAAACCCTAGCCTCCATGGCAGCTAGGTCACAAACTCTCACAGGCTATTAATTAATTTAGCCAAGACGGTAAAACTTGGTAAGTTTAGGCAGCACTGCTGCTGCTTATCTATATATAAAACGTACGTACGCAAAACGTCCATTGTTTTTTAGAAGAATTAGGGCACGAGGTTAGCGTACGTACGTAACAGCCAATGTCAGACGGCTGCAAACCCAAATGTGTCTTTCTTTCAATGACGGCAAAAACCCAATGAAACAACCCACCTAATGCCAATGGTTCAATGACGGCAAAAACCCAACGAGACAAAACGAACCAAGAATTCGAATCAAGGAATCATATAAGCGAAGACAAACCAAGTCTTGAGCTGTAACCCTAAATCATGTATATAATCATGTACATAATTACATAACTTTCAAGAACACAAAATATAGCCTTGGCGATCGATGTTGCTGATTAGTTTTACTAAGCTGCCCGTCTTGCTTCCCCTCATATCATGGCTCATCCTAGTTCCATGTACGTACTGTATATCCCAAACCATCTCTTCTCATGATGATTTTCACACCATTATATAGGGTAGTATTCATGATCTGCCTGAGCGCATGCATGCAGGCCTTCTGCCTCGGAGCGAATCGACGAGAACGATTGCTCCTCGATGGGGGGATGGCAACGATATTCGTCCCAGCGATTCAGGCACTACGGAGGATCATCGGATCGATGTCAGGTATATTACATTTGTAAGTGTTGTGGTATATGATCCACGATTGAACCTCTCCCAACAACTCGAGTTATTGGGAGGCGCAACTGGTTCTTGACAACATTACATCTCGTTGAAGCTCCATGATCCCCAGCAGCCACATGCCATCTTTATTATTATTAGTATTAGGGTTGTGTTAGATCCTAGGCAAATGAAATCATTATGATATTGTTGTACACGTTGCAATTGAGGTGCAGGAACCAAAATCTGTACGGACCCAGAAATGCTTCAGCACAGGAATACTGTAATGACATCTGCAACGACGGAAACTGCTTCGATAGTTACCCTGACAAGTGCGGCAAGTCGTTTGAATATGTGGGTTGCGACTGTGAGCAGAATGCGTGCATATGCTATTACAGGATTTAACGATTTAATTTCCACTTGAAGAAGAAGAAGAAGAAGAAGAAGAGATCAGATCGAGGATTTCATCGCTCTATTGTTGAATGTTCTTGTGGCCATTTGTCTAATGCAGTTCGAGTTATTTTGAAATATTATCAATTTTGTTGAATTTCTATTTTCCACACACACACAAAAATACGATTAGTTGAGTTGATAGTTATATCTCAACTTTTAGTTGTGATTGTTGAGATAGTTGAGTTGAGATTGTTATATCTCAACTTTTTATTGTCTATTTCCGGGGACGATTTTTATTGTCCCCATACCTCCTCTTTTTTGTAGTGGTGGGAGAAAATCCAGCCTCGTCTGGCATTCACTAGTCGTTTGGAAGTTGCGATTGTTAAATAGATGTATTGTTGAGAATGTATGTATAATATTATACATGTATTGTCGAATTTGATGCATTGTAGAATACAACGTTTGGTATGTGTGATTGTGTATGTCGCATCAGCTAAAAGCTGAGAGCCTGAGACAAAACAATCTCAACTCAACTATCTCAACAATCACAACTAAAAGTTGAGATATAACAATCACTCAAAATACGAAAGAATACGCGCTGCTACGGATCGGGAAATCGCCGGAATCGACCAAGCAAGAATACGAAAGCGAGAATCGAAAACACGACACACGATTTACGTGGTTCACTAATACGATGTGTGTTAGCTACGTCCACGGGCGAGAGAGAGCCAGTTTCACTATATCGAGGAGATTACATATTACAGAGGAGTATGAGAAGTATTTATAGTACTTCTCCATGTGGGTCTAAACCTAATCCAATCTAGCAAAGGAAACGGTTACAGACCAGGCCCAGAACCCGAACCCAAATAACATTGAGCCCATACACCGAGACCCCCGATTACCAGTCGTAGCGGCTGATAGTCTGATTCAAGTCATATCAACAACGTGTACCACCGTTGCTTCTAATATCAGAATACAATTTTGAATATTCAATATAACGACGGCTCTACTTAGAATAACGACGATCGTGGCAAAATTTTCCTTGACGGTCAGTCCAACCGTCGACGGCGTCAGCTGACCGTGGTAAAAGATATTAACGATGGTTATTGTCGTCGCTAAATGTTAATAAAACCGTGGCTAGCTCTTATGTCATGGGGTTTTTTTTTTTTTTTTACCGTCGTTGCAGAGATAACTTCATTTCTTGGATGGTTTTGGATTTTCATGGTTGATGCACTGTAAGTTGTAAGCTTCTGCCTGCAGTGCGCGGCGGGGATAAATGCCATTTGTTTTGTTTAGTTTGGTTGAAGAGTTTTTTTCTTTATAAAAGTTTGGTTGAAGAGTTAACTCCAAGCTTTATACCTTAAAATTATTAAGGAATTGTTCTACCACATATATATTGATCTTAAAGTTATATCAGTAATATTAAATTTTATTAATGATGATTTATTAATAATGAGAAAAAAATAAGCGTAAATGATGTCAATAACGAGTTAGTCATAATAATTCGAAGTTTGGAAGATGTTCAATTATGAATCTTATACATTTATTAACATTTCTCCTCAAATGATCCGGGTTTGAATTTTTCTACGTATCTGAATATCATGCTCTTAACAAATACCAATGCCATTTAGATCACGAGTAATCTTCATGATAGCACCGTGCATATTTAATGCTTTTTCATTATTTTGAAGACATTAATGTACAATACATTTTTGTTTTTATAAAAGTGATATAATTTAATATTTTTTTAATTGGGTGCTACTTAAGTGATCCGTATGACACATTAATCATATTAGTTGGTTGTTATAAATTTGTTGGCGTTTGGATGGATTAATTGTCAATGAGTAAATGTAGAGTCAAATAGTTCATTACTTGTTCATGTGGTATTTCAGTGTTGTTCTAGTGATAAGTGGATTAAAATATCTCGTTTGGTAGAACTATTCACATGTGGTATTTGGCATATGACATTTTGACAAAAACAGAAGGTAAAACGAGTTATTTCGAAATGACACAGCGATATATAAGAGTTATTTCAAATAATTCGTTTTGAGTTATTTGTAAATAGCTCACTATCCAAATAACCGATTTCGATAAAATGGCGTCAAACAATTTATTTGTTTTAAAAATTAACTCATTATACGTTATTTAAAATCAAATAACTCACTCAAATACTCTATCGAAATGACTCGGTTATATATGGCAACCATAGCCATGTTCATCTTCTTTTATTCACTAGTTTGTGACGTCTTCTATAGTCAAAAGTTTTTTTCTTAAGGCTGATCTCTGACAAGAAGCATATTTGTTTTGCTTTGTTTTTTTTTTTTTAATAAATCATCTCTCAATCGAGTGATTATCTCCATCCATTCCAATTGCAATCAAACTTTTATTAAGTTCCTCTCTCTCTGCCTAACAATTAAGCTCAAACATTTATTTTCCTCGATCTGATCTTCATCTCTTTCACACAAATCCTCAATCTCTAACAAAGACACCTCTTTTCCTCAACGACCAGCACCATGCAATCTGTCTCTAATGATCTCCGCCGGAATTAGGTAAAGATTAAATTAAGTTCCCAAATCCACACGCGCATTGAACTCATTCATCAATTAATTAGTTAATTCATCTCAAGTAAGTACAAAAATATTAAGGAATTATATATGACAGATATTAAGGAATTATATATGACAGATACCTCCATGTCTTGAGTACTCTTGATACTATATAAACACCATGTAATGAGCAGCAATGCTTACCAACATATCTACAATACTGCTCGACAAAAAAATCTCAAAGCCAAGAGGGCAAAAAAACCAGCTAATAAGAACTACGATAAAGCTAGCCATGGCGATCCCCGTGATCAGTGTTGTTGCTAAGTTGGCCGTCTTGCTTCTCATCACCATCATCCTTCCATGTACATATTCTCTATATTATCTTCCTCGCAATCTATATTTACGGTATAAGATTCATTATGAAAACTATCCCAACAACTCAGGTTATTGGGACCAACGGATTATTGACTGTCTCCCCGTATTTCTTTGCTTTAGATTATGAAAAGTAGTAATACATTGGTCATCATATGTGCGTGCAGGTGTTTTGCCTTCAAGAACATCCAATGTAGTAATTAGTCGACAGACGAAGAATCGCCACGACAATGCTTCGATTCATTTCAGGTATACATATCTCATCATCAGTACTTTCTTGTTTTTCTTTCGAAAATTTTGAAAATTCGAGTTAAAACGAAAGAAAATTTTTCTTCCCTCAGAAACGAGGAGATCAGGAGGTTGCCCTCGCCGGTACCGAAAAGAGGAACGGGTGTGATGATGATCACACCTCAAGCAGCAGCAGCAACAACAACATCCAGCAGTAACACAACTTCTTCGGTACAGGACGACTGCGACGAGACGTGCAACAACGAGAATTGTGCTTATTATTACCCAGATTTGTGCAAGAAGAGTCGCGATGATGATCTCGATAATTTCCACCATGGAAGTGGAAAATACCACCATCATCATTGCTACGTGGGTTGCTCCTGTACGGATACTTTATGTTACTGCATGTGCTAATTAAGATATAGCTTGATTTCTTGAAGACAGGAAGAAGTTGTGTGTGCAAGCCCTCGATCGTCGTCGTCGATCTCCTTAATTTACCCCGGCCGCCGGTTGACACACTAATCGCTGGCCGAGTCTCCTTGTTTTCGTTGCAATAGTTTTGCTGTGATTCCGGTTAATGGTGTTTTCTTTAGCCGGGCGCGGGTAGTTTTCCTACCGGTTGATGCCGTTTTCTTTACACTAAATTTTGAGCTTACCGTGTGATAGATGTTCACATCCTCATATTATCACGAGTTTCTTTTGCTCTGTTTGTTTGTTAGACATGGAGTACTTCAGAATAACCATACCAAGAAGGGTTGCATGCTTAAAGCAAAAATGAGTTCTTAAATGAAAAAAAAAATAATTAAGAAGTAGTGCGCTAGTGTAGCACCTTAGGCGAATCTCATATCGATCGACAAAGTGCGAGAGAGATCCATGATTCATAAGTACGAAACCGACCTTAACTGACAAGACGCTTTTTGTCGTGAAATGGAAGAGTTCTTGGGAGAACTCTGAAATTAAACATGCTCAGTATGGAGTACAACAAGGATGGTTGACCTTATAGGTCGGGTTCTGCAAAACGGACAATATTTGTGTACAAAAATGATAAACAGGTAAAGAGAAGGTGGATCGACGGAAACCAATGGATTCATGATAAGTTCCTCGCGTACCAAAAGAAAGAAATAGTTAATGATACAATCAACCAAAAAAATTATGACTTAATTATTCCATCAAAAGGATTTTCACCGAGTTGGAGTAAGCAAGAACGTAACTCCGAATTGAAGTGGATCCAAAACATACAATATTTTCTGAAATTTTTATTTAATCTCATCGAGAGGCATATACTATATACTACATAACAAAGTTTACCAACAAAAGCAAAACTCATCCTTTATTTCTCTGTTGAAGAGTCTCGTGGCATAGTCCTTATTCTTTGGGTGTGGCAAAAATACAAAGTCACCCCACCCAATCAACTATGGAAAATTCAAAGAGGAACATAGATCAATATGGCAGTAAGAAATAAAGTCACTTGGACGGCGGACCCTTACTACAAAGACAATAGCATGCACCATCTTCCTTCTTATCTGGACACCAGCAACCCACCGAACATGTATAATACTGATTATCTTCCCCAACTTTCTCCGACGTCCTCCCAGGCTTCACTCCTTTACACATGTCGGGGTAATAGAAGTTGCAGGTGTCGTCGTTGCAGGTCGCGTCGCAGTTGTTCTGGACCGAGGCATCGCTGGAAAAAGTTGTGCATGAAACAAGTGAAAACATGGAGTCAAGTGAAACTGCTGGCGAGTTTCGACTGAGAGATAATAATTAATGCATTACCTGACGCTCAACTTTGTACCGTTAGCGGCGGTTAGGAGAATGATATCGTCGTTCCCCCATCGAGGAGGAGGAATGACCGTTCTGGATTCGCTCCTGCAGGGCAAAAGACATGCATGCAATGCGCAGTCGAAATCGTGATTCTATGTAAAAGCGTTTTGGTGAACTGGAAGCGCGTAAAAACGACGTGAGCTTTTTT